ATACCATGAGTGGCAGGTGGCTGAATTTTACGGAGACTTGCCACGGTCTCCAACCCTCCTCCTTTCTCATATCGACTTTAATATTGAAGTAATTTACGCTGTCATATCTTCTAGCATTGATATACTGACAAACTGAATTAGTTTATAAATAGTAGTATCGTTTTATATATGACGCCGGAGAAGATAATAACTAACAATACAAATCCGGAATTTTACACTTCTCGGTACCCCGCTTACTCGTTCATTCTGACCGAAGGATATGTCCGTAAAGACAAACTTCGACTGATCGTGACCACTTATTCCACTGTCGACCGTGATCACCTCTTCGCAAGGCTGTCTCGCGTGCATCACCGGTGGCATCGCCATCAAGCGTAGCTTCGCCCGATCATCAGCGATTTTCTGAGCCTTGAGAAAAAACGCAAAAAACATAACAGCAAAACAACAGTAAGCTTAATCAGTTACTTTCCGAACTTCCTTTTCCGTCATTAGCACGTACTTCGGCGCCTCCAGTTCTTTTACTTGGCGAGGGCGAAACACCTTTTCGCGGCAAACCTCTGTTACGCGGTACAGCAACTTTTGTACGTCTGAGTTCGTGAACAAGCGGCCGACGTCTACATCTGCTGAAGCCCAAGACAAAGCCCTTAGCGGCAGCGTAACTCTCATGACAGAAAGCGCCAGACTTCCTACATAATTTAGCTAATAAAACACGAAACTAGCCATGATAAACTACAGAGTCAAAATAAAGAGTTTGCAAGTACGTTGCGCATAGAGTGAAACCTATCAATTTAAATCTGTCGCGTAAAAATTAATCCGCTATTATGATTTATCGCAAACTGGCAGTGTTCAGGATAGAAACTGTTTTTTGCCATGCAGGAGACAAAATAGAGTAAAAATAAATTTCGAAATTTCTCGCAAGAATTGTGCACTGAAAAATTTTGACATGGATAAACAAGCGAATACTGATAAACTAAAATCAAAAAAATTACCGTCATGTTCTGAAGCGGATTCCACGAGTGGGATCTTTCGATATTGCTGTTAAAGATGTATTAATATAAAGATAGCGGACAGAAACAGCGACAATTCAGCGTATAAGAAAGGAGAAATATATTTCTCGCTTCAGACCAAATGCATTATTGCTCCGCCCTCTTGTTTCAAATCGCATGGAAGGCCAAAAAAGCAGGCCACGGCTTTTCTGGTATTTAAGTGCCTGTAGAGAATTTGGTGTAAAAACCGCATCTTTAAATTGGGTTGAACGAAACCACGTTCAGGCCTGCCTTCTAGGCGACTATAAACAAGGGAGAGGTGCAATAACGTAGTTGGTGTAAATCGAGCAACACATTTTTCTTTCTTTATACTGCATTTTTATCGTTTCAAACCGGTATATTTATCACAGTATCATATATGGAACGTCGGTATTTGAACCTACCACTCGTAAGGAAAGCAAGAAAAACCTACGTTATTTTTCGACTTCTCCTCACCTTCAGATCATGGCGTTTTGGCTTAAACATCCTTCTTTACAACCTAGTTAAAACAGGCAAAGAGAATTCCATATGCCACTGCATCCAACTTATTCTTCAGTTTACCCTAAGCGCAGAGAAAAGTTTACATTATTTGTTACTATCATCAATTATCATTATCATTACCTGCTCATTGCGGTCTGGCAGATTGCAGCGTAGCAGCACGAAAACTACTGACAACGATCGACGAAACTACGACGAAGATTATAATCAGCAATGGCAAGGCTACCCGTTCTGAACGAATGAGGCTGATAGCCCCATGCCATTACAGCACATTAAAAAAATCTCAAGAGAACGCCACCGCCAGTGGGAGCTTACAGTCCGAAATTGGAATTTATCTACTCTCAAAGGGAAAGAGCAGGAGTTAGTTGATGAGGCTACAAGGTACCAATTCGACATAGTTGGACACTCTTCAACAAAGCGCCAAGGCTCTGAAATCCTGAACCTCTGCGGGTGGAAGCTATTCTTCTAAGCTATCGATATCACGATCCGCGCCGTCTAAGGTCTCAAAAGGCATGTCATGACACCTTAGCAAGGATAAGGAGATTCTTCAGCGATGAAGAAAGTACTCTAGGTAATCCCCAAGCAACAGGGAACGGATAACTGTATATAAAATCACAGGAGCTGTGAAATGCTAAGAAAGTGGAATTGCTGCTTGAATTGATGAAATCCACCCCGAAATGCTTAAAGCGTTAGACAAACTTCATGTGTCTGTAAAACTGCATTGACAACGGGTAAATCATCGGTGGACCGGAGAAGGGGGGTTGTCGTACCCCTATTCAAGAAGTTAGTTCACAGGGAGTGCTTCAATCATGGGAAAAAGAGAGCCCCAAGAAAAAGTATATTCAAAGGTTTTAGGATGGAGATGTCGCGGAGTGCATTACTCTAAAATACAAAATGAGCAGTGTAGTTACCGGCTCTCCTAAACCGCCTCCTACCGTATGTTTTCCTTCCGCCATGTTGCAGAGAGAACAAGGGAGTTCACCCATCCGATCAAAGTGTGCTTTGTTGATTTGGAGAAAGTCTGTAAAAGAATCCGGCGCAACAGTCTCGGGC